AAAATCCTCGATCACTTTTCCTTTTTGGTTAATGTGTGGACTTCCCCATAAAGGATTGTGCCCATTTAGATCCCCCATGATTATACATGGTTTTGGGAGCTGGTCGTATAGCTTTTGAAGCTCATTCTGATGAAGACCCAAAGAAGGAGGAAGATATAAGGAGCAAAGTGTAAATGTAATATGCAAGGTGAGCCGAACTGCCACAGCTTGCAGATTTGTATTTAGGGGAACAGGACTATGAATGATGCCCTGTCGCACCAAAATAGAAGCGCCCCCAGTTGCCTTATCACCAGGAGGGGAAAATGAATGAAATGAACTGTATTGCCTCAAATCAAATTTATCTGTGTTTTTTAGATATGTTTCTTGTAAGCATATAGCTGATGGATTTATATCTTGAGTTAATAATTGCAATTCATTTAAATTATGCCTAAGTCCTCTGCAATTCCACTGAAGTAGATTGGAATAGTTCATGGTGGTTCGATAGGAGTTCTTTCACGTGAACGTGAAGAAGTGTTATTTTGGGTAGATGGAGTAACATCCATCTCTAATGGCTCAAAGAAATTTTGAAGTTCCACTGATGGTTCAACAGGAGTGGCAATCTTCGTTGTAATTTTTTTATTATGTTTTTTCTTTTGTTTTTTGGGACATTTCAGTTGAAGTTTTCAAATTAGGTTTCCCAGTTGTCGTATTCGCTGGTGTAACAATCTCACGTGGAATCTGAGTTGTTTCAAGAAGGATACATTGCTGACTATCTGAACAAGTTGTCTGGCTGTCAGATGTTCTAGTAATAGGCACAGGACTGGTAGAGTTTGTCCACGTCAGGTCTGTCTGGCACTCTATCGATCTGGTGGAAGAAGGTCGAGAAACAGCAGCAGCATATGTTTGGATAGATGGAGATGATCTGCTAGCAACAAGCCTTTTCGCATCTTGAAAAGAAATGTTGTTCTGACATTTGACGGTCATAATTTCTTTTTCCCGTTGCCATATGGGACAGGATTTGGAAGATGCAATGTGTTGTCCCTTACAGTTAGGGCAGTTTAAGTCTGCTGAGCAATCTGAGCCTTCATGACTGGCACCACATCGGTGGCAAACAATCGGGCGAATGCATGATTTGGAACCATGTCCAAATTTCTGACACTTATAACACCGGAGTGGATTAGGAACATATACCTCCACTCCGATGTTAAAATATCCTGCTTTTATAGATCTAGGTATGGTAGGAAGAGAAAAATTGAACAAATAGGTGTTAGTTGGGACAATGTGCTCTCCATCTTTCCTGGTGAAACGTTTCACGGAAGTGACATGTTGTGTTGAAAGTTCGTTCAAGATTTCATCTTCTGTCATTTCTGCCAGACAGCGTGTTCTGTCACGGATGATCCCACGACTTGAATTTAGTGTACGGTGCTCTGAGATAACAACTTCAGTGTTAGCAAAAGTAGAACACTTTAAAAGATTGATAGCTTGTTGTTTCCGGGAACATTCAACCAAAAGGGTGCCGCCCCGGAGCCTTGAAACATTCTTGACCTCACCACAGATACCTTCAATAGCTTTACAGATAGCAAATGGATTTAGTTTCAAAGGAAGGTTATTCCTTGATTCAACAACTAGAAACCGCGCCCAAGAATTTGAATTTTGTGAAGCAGAAACATCATCATCGGATGATAAACTCTCAGCTTCCAGACGTCTTTTCTTTTCATTACGGTTTAAACCAGAGTGGATATGAGCCATGGTAATATCATTGTGATTCAACAATCCTGCTCCCCACCCACCATGGAGTGTCAAAGGAGACAGTGTTGGAATGCAACGGATCTCCAAGATGCAAACACTAGGGATACAGGATTGTTATACTCCAGCAACCAAGACACAAATAGTAATATCTGTACACCAATTCCAATGTCAGGCTGGTTTTGCCCCATGACAAGAAAATAGGTACGTATCAAATTTGGAGGTCAATGTTACCAGATTGGCCCATGAGCCACCGCCTTCTGGCATAGGACTCTAGGCAATGTAATATGATCATAATTTGAACAGTGATAATCAAAATGACCAAGACCAAGTGAGTGAGTTATATGTGCAAAAATATTAACTATGCACAGGGCTTGGCGTGACCAGCCGATTGATAGAACCGGGCCAGTTCTACCACCCGTCTAGGTGAAGTAAGGGTCGAAGTGGTGTATTGGGCAAAGGAACACTGTTCCTGGAACCAGTGCCCTCAACCACCAGAATCCCGTCCTCCACCGACACAGGGGCGCAACCCACGGCAAACGGGTTGGTGGACCAAATATCCCCCCGGGTCCACAACGGGGGGTTGAAGGGCGCTTAGCGTGACCCAGCACCCACCACGAGGAGGTGGCCCTTCATGGGTGCCTCTGTTGGATTATGTCAATGATGTAATGATTGAGGTAATATTGTTACCATCATTAACATTATGACTCATTATTATTTTATGGGCATTACCATGAAGATACGCCAATCTAAATTGGCCAATGAGATATTTCTCAGCCTCGTCTTCCACGTCTTCTACTTGATGTGCTGGTATCCAAGTACCGTCAATTGCGTCCTCCCATTCTTTCACCAGCAAGCGGGATGGCTCATCCCCACGCCTACCATTATAGAGTGTGAGTCTCGCAACCACAAGGGACCGCAACCATGTATACTTTTTTGACATGGAACGGTTTGTTGTAACAAAGGCGGGTTAATTCACTTCTAATGTAATCTTTCAGTATTTTGAGAGCATCTTTGTCGGGTAGATTAGTGGGTCTCCTTGCCTTGTCCAGCGAATTAGCCATCTGGCAATATCTTGACTTTGCAAACATTTCGTGTGCCCGAAATCCATAAGCGTATTCGAATTTTTCTAATTCCTTTTTTTTTTTATCCTGCATGGTTTCTGTGTTAACTCTTTCGGGCTTTAATTGTCCTTTGTATGATGGCATTTAAATTGAGCTTTAAATAGTCCATGCTTTTCTTGACCATTTTCCTCCTCTTGTGTGTGCATTTCGATGGCTTCTCGCAAGTTTGGCAAATTTGTCCTACAGACCATCTCCTCCGGAGTAACAGGCTCAGTACACAGTGTTTTGAACCGTAAGAAAAGCCTTGAGAAGCTCTCGCATTTCAGTCATTACACATGTTTTTACTTCCTTGATATTTCCGATTTCCTCAAACAAAAGTGGCGATACCCGACCTGTTGGATTAGCCAATCAGTCCTACAGAGTTCACCGACTTTAGTGTCTCTAAATTTAAGCATAATTTCTTCTCTGAATGTCGAATCCTTGTGTAAGTCAGATACTGCTAGATGTTTTACAGGTATTGGGTCAGCAACATATTTTGAGCACGTTTCCTTGTGTTTATAGAATGTTCTATTGGATAGAAACTTCTTGCATGCAGTGCACATCTTAAGATTGTCATGTATCTTGGGTTGTCGTTCTCTCATGAATTTCGATGGATTTTCAACTTCTTCATTTTTTATAAGGTTCAAATTGAATGCCACCATGCCTTCTCTTCGTTTATGATAAAAAAAAACTGCCTGTTCCTTTTCTGATGTGGTTAGGATTTCTTTTACCTCCTCTTCCATTTTGTGTACTCTTTGAATGTGGCGTCTTAATTTCCCCCCAAAAAGTCTTCTTGCAATAAATACAAAATCTGTCTGGTTTCTGTGAAAGAAAAACTTATATACAGTGTACTGGAAAACGTACAAGAGCAGTGCATGTAGGATAAGATGCAAAAAGACAAATAGTTTTGAACATGGGCCTAATTCTCCTCCCAGAACCGCATTCAAATATAATAAAAATATGAGGACTATATCCAACTCTAAGCTAAGTCCAATTCAAAGTACATAATCAACTACTGTCTGCTAATATGCTTTGAAATTTTTCATTTTGTTTACAAGTTGAATGAAGTCATGAGAACTCTCTATGTGATCCGGTGCATTCTGTCTTATTGTCTCTGTTTTTCCTTCTTATGACTTCCAATGATAATTTAAAAATCTGCACTTTTGTTATATCAAATAATATTTACATTATACCTAATAATTTTAAAGTGTTGCTTTGTCCCTTTTACAAAGGAACCGTGAGACCTACTTTCATTGCATATCAAATTTCAAGTGTTGCCATGCAATGTTATCAAACTACTGTTGTAACTGTAGTACTGTTCTAAACTGGGTTGTTCTCTGCTCATATTTTCAATTGGTTACTGTTACAATCAATTATGACTCTAAATAAATAAACATTTAAATTTGAATTGTTTTAGGTGTTCATCACTTTCATCCTGCAATATTTCAGAGAGATATTACTTTTGTCTTGTATGATTATTGTACTTGTACTATAACATGACTCACTTAATGAATATAATTTTCTTGTTTGAGTGGCTTTTAGAAGTTGGTGTGATGAACAACGAGGAGAGTTCTATGGATATACAACTTCTTTAATAAAATATGAGCGACATTTCGGTGTAGCTACTAACACCGTTATCAAGCAAATGATGTAAAATGCTTAAGGCAAGGTATATATATATACATAGTAAAGTTGAACAGTAAGTGATTGATGTTTGTACAATTAATGCGGTTGATGTACAAGGTATTTACACAAGAAGGCAAATGTTACGCAAACAGGGTAAGCTATGGGGGGATTTTTGGGAGAAAGCCAGTGATATGACAAACAGGAGAATAATGGGATTAAGATTGCTTGGTGATGAGTTGGTTGTAGGCAGTGGGGATGTAATATCCTTGGTCTCTGTTCATGGCCGGTTGGTGTCAGATGAAAATTCAGATGATCAAATAGTTAAACCTGTGGAATCACACTGTAAACCATGGTGCACTGATGAGTTAGTCATCTAAACAATAAGCTACCACACTGCTAGATTCTACATATTTAATAATACTATTAATAGTAAAAAGTAATGGTAAACAAAACTGTCGGCCAGTGTTTGTTAGAAAACGCCATTAGTTAAACATATATAAATCTTAAATGTCAAACAACACCAGCCTTCCTGGTACGGTGTGGGACTTACCTGGTTGGATCTTGTGTTACAATGCTCTCCCCACAGATCTTGGACGTGTTGACATGTAAACCCACTGGAGGGAAGGTGGAAAAATCAGCCAGTGACAGAAGGAATTTCTTGAACCTGTAAAAATAAGAAATAAAGCAATTTCATGAAGTTAGGAGAGTTGCTTCCTTATGGATGTTGGTCATATTACAATGATCTGTAGTCCACAGAGGAAATTCTAAATCAACTCACCTATATACCTTTATGTATCATCCTGCATCCGTCAATAGCTGATATCCCTGGGTCATCACACGCCTGGAACCACTCACGAACCTGTAATGTGTTTAATATCTGTATACCAAGAGTCCAACAGCATGATTAGTATACCATAATTTCAACAAATTAACATGTTAATCAACGATGCCAAATGCTGATCATCATATATTCTAATGCAAGTTGCACCTGACTACATATGAAATAAGTTACATATTTGCACAATTGATCATGCACACCTCTTAAGTAGTTCAAAATTAAAATCAACAACATATCCTTTTATCAAGTTGTCAGCTGAAAACAGCCGTAAACCAACATTCCCGATATTCACCGTAATTTCACGCGACACAACTGTACTCGAGATCTAAACAAGAACAACTTCACTACTAGATATCAATTAGACACAACATGCTAACACTGAAAAAATAAACTGGTACCAATGTGCGATTTGGAGAAATCATACCCGCCTCGATTAACTTTCAGCCTGCAACACTTCTTTCAGACAACAACGTGTAACCTAACTTGAGGCTGAACAGTGAACACACTGACGAGGCCGAAGCCTACCAATTTATTTACGGTAACTGATTAAACAAAACACGTATTCCACATCAAATGACAAATCCGGGTGCATTTCATGATGGTTGATCAATGATGTGGGTGTTTATGCATTCAAGTCAAAACTTCAACCCAGAATATACAAAAGAAACTACTCACCTTGTCACTTGTTTGGTTTCGTCCGCCATTTTGTCGTACAGTGTTTTTCCGGAAATGGTGTTGTCACTCGACTACGATCGGTTTTTGACGGATACAGCCGAGGTAATTATTCCGCTGCATTCTACCGAGTTTCGCATAGCGGCTGTACGCGTGTTCCGCTAACGGCCGCTGTCAAATCCGATAGTACCTATTTTTGTTTGTATATAAACTGCATTAGATTGGAATACAGACGCTATGCTACCAATACGCCATCATTATGATCTCATTCAACGCTTTTTCGTCACATAGATAGGAGGGCCTGAACTATGCAAAATACGTTAATCCACGAACTACTTTCACAAACCTCCATACACGCCATGCGAATCCTACAACGTTAACATTTCATTGATGACGTCGTCGCGAGTTTACATTGTTTGTAAACAAATATGGCTGCCCCATTCTCAAAATTTGTGATTCTGTAAGAATTGATGACACAGGTCGTTACTGCAGTAATTGACTTTGGAAAACATGAAACGGAGTACTTCGTTCAAATTGAAGGTACAGATTATCAGGCACCACGGAAAGGCAATCGTCTAAGGAAGGTACCAACCAAGGATTTCGATCTATCGATCACAATACAGACGACGAATCGATTCCGTTAGGTATCAGAAACTGATATTGATGAGGTGATTACCCTCAATGAAAATAGAAACACAGCTAAAAAAAACCGTCCCCGATTTTGTTGTTCTTTTTAAGATAGAAAGATTTTATTTTAAGCATGAGTTATGTTTGCACTGTATGAGCGACTAGTCACAACCATATGCCGCCGTCATGAACGACCTTCACCTTGGTGTACCGCTAAGCATTCCTACGCGAATGCTCGATTCTCTTCAAATAAATTCACTCTCTTTTTTAGAGTAATGTTAAGAATGACATTATATGATAAAGAGTATTAACCTCGTGTGTTTCCGTATCATTAATATCATATATTAGGAATAAAACTAATGCATGATGCTCGCTAAAGGCTCGCATGATACAATTTTATTGCCAACATATGATATTAATGATTCAAAAATACACTCGGTTAATAATCTCTATATATCCAAGTTCTGATGTAATAAAGGTTTGGCAATGATGTAAAAGAGGCACGAATTCTCAAACAGCAGTTATCATTTTAATTTTTATAGGAACATTACCTGTATTACATCGGAAGTACTCACATCCATCTCCCAAACCATCTGCACCTAGTTAACAGGTATTGAAAATAGTGAGGTCCACTTGATTGTCGCATGAGTGAGAGTTGTGGGATACTATGTACTCCTTAGAGTACATGTATTACTATTGATTGATAGTTGGCAGTGATTTTAACATCATTGAAAACTGAAGATTTAGTTAAAGTGTTGACAACCAATCTGTTGGATTATGTCAATGATGTAATGATTGAGGTAATATTGTTACCATCATTAACATTATGACTCATTATGTTTTATGGGCATTACATGAAGATACGCCAATCTGAATTGGCCAATGAGATATTTCTCAGCCTCGTCTTCCACGTCTTCTACTTGATGTGCTGGTATCCAAGTACCGTCAATTGCGTCCTCCCATTCTTTCACCAGCAAGCGGGATGGCTCATCCCCACGCCTACCATTATAGAGTGTGAGTCTCGCAACCACAAGGGACCGCAACCATGTATACTTTTTGACATGGAACGGTTTGTTGTAACAAAGGCGGGTTAATTCACTTCTAATGTAATCTTTCAGTATTTTGAGAGCATCTTTGTCGGGTAGATTAGTGGGTCTCCTTGCCTTGTCCAGCGAATTAGCCATCTGGCAATATCTTGACTTTGAAAACATTTCGTGTGCCCGAAATCCATAAGCGTATTGAATTTTTCTAATTCCTTACCTGGTTTTCTGTGTTAAACTCTTTCGGGCTTTAATTGTCCTTTGTATGATGGCATTTAAATTGAGCTTTAAATAGTCCATGCTTTTCTTGACCATTTTCCTCCTCTTGTGTGTGCATTTCGATGGCTTCTCGCAAGTTTGGCAAATTTGTCCTAAAGACCATCTCCTCCGGAGTAACAGGCTCAGTACACAGTGTTTTGAACCGTAAGAAAAGCCTTGAGAAGCTCTCGCATTTCAGTCATTACACATGTTTTACTTCCTTGATATTTCCGATTTCCTCAAACAAAAGTGGCGATACCCGACCTGTTGGATTAGCCAATCAGTCCTACAGAGTTCACCGACTTTAGTGTCTCTAAATTTAAGCATAATTTCTTCTCTGAATGTCGAATCCTTGTGTAAGTCAGATACTGCTAGATGTTTTACAGGTATTGGGTCAGCAACATATTTTGAGCACGTTTCCTTGTGTTTATAGAATGTTCTATTGGATAGAAACTTCTTGCATGCAGTGCACATCTTAAGATTGTCATGTATCTTGGGTTGTCGTTCTCTCATGAATTTCGATGGATTTTCAACTTCTTCATTTTTTATTAGGTTCAAATTGAATGCCACCATGCCTTCTCTTCGTTTATGATAAAAAAAAACCTGCCTGTTCCTTTTCTGATGTGGTTAGGATTTCTTTTACCTCCTCTTCCATTTTGTGTACTCTTTGAATGTGGCGTCTTAATTTCCCCCCAAAAAGTCTTCTTGCAATAAATACAAAATCTGTCTGGTTTCTGTGAAAGAAAAAAAAACTTATATACAGTGTACTGGAAAACGTACAAGAGCAGTGCATGTAGGATAAGATGCAAAAGACAAATAGTTTCGAACATGGGCCTAATTCTCCTCCCAGAACCGCATTCAAATATAATAAAAAATATGAGGACTATATCCAACTCTAAGCTAAGTCCAATTCAAAGTACATAATCAACTACTGTCTGCTAATATGCTTTGAAATTTTTCATTTTGTTTACAAGTTGAATGAAGTCATGAGAACTCTCTATGTGATCCGGTGCATTCTGTCTTATTGTCTCTGTTTTTCCTTCTTATGACTTCCAATGATAATTTAAAATCTGCACTTTTGTTATATCAAATAATATTTACATTATACCTAATAATTTTAAAGTGTTGCTCTGTCCCTTTTACAAAGGAACCGTGAGACCTACTTTCATTGCATATCAAATTTCAAGTGTTGCCATGCAATGTTATCAAACTACTGTTGTAACTGTAGTACTGTTCTAAACTGGGTTGTTCTCTGCTCATATTTTCAATTGGTTACTGTTACAATCAATTATGACTCTAAATAAATAAACATTTAAATTTGAATTGTTTTAGGTGTTCATCACTTTCATCCTGCAATATTTCAGAGAGATATTACTTTTGTCTTGTATGATTATTGTACTTGTACTATAACATGACTCACTTAATGAATATAATTTTCTTGTTTGAGTGGCTTTTAGAAGTTGGTGTGATGAACAACGAGGAGAGTTCTATGGATATACAACTTCTTTAATAAAATATGAGCGACATTTCGGTGTAGCTACTAACACCGTTATCAAGCAAATGATGTAAAATACTTAAGGCAAGGTGTATATATACATAGTAAAGTTGAACAGTAAGTGATTGATGTTTGTACAATTAATGCGGTTGATGTACAAGGTATTTACACAAGAAGGCAAATGTTACGCAAACAGGGTAAGCTATGGGGGGATTTTTGGGAGAAAGCCAGTGATATGACAAACAGGAGAATAATGGGATTAAGATTGCTTGGTGATGAGTTGGTTGTAGGCAGTGGGGATGTAATATCCTTGGTCTCTGTTCATGGCCGGTTGGTGTCAGATGAAAATTCAGATGATCAAATAGTTAAACCCGTGGAATCACACTGTAAACCATGGTGCACTGATGAGTTAGTCATCTAAACAATAAGCTACCACACTGCTAGATTCTACATATTTAATAATACTATTAATAGTAAAAGTAATGGTAAACAAAACTGTCGGCCAGTGTTTGTTAGAAAACGCCATTAGTTAAACATATATAACTTTTAAATGTCAAACAACACCAGCCTTCCTGGTACGGTGTGGGACTTACCTGGTTGGATCTTGTGTTACAATGCTCTCCCCACAGATCTTGGACGTGTTGACATGTAAACCCACTGGAGGGAAGGTGGAAAAATCAGCAGCCAGTGACAGAAGGAATTTCTTGAACCTGTAAAAATAAGAAATAAAGCAATTTCATGAAGTTAGGAGAGTTGCTTCCTTATGGATGTTGGTCATATTACAATGATCTGTAGTCCACAGAGGAAATTCTAAATCAACTCACCTATATACCTTTATGTATCATCCTGCATCCGTCAATAGCTGATATCCCTGGGTCATCACACGCCTGGAACCACTCACGAACCTGTAATGTGTTTAATATCTGTATACCAAGAGTCCAACAGCATGATTAGTATACCATAATTTCAACAAATTAACATGTTAATCAACGATGCCAAATGCTGATCATCATATATTCTAATGCAAGTTGCACCTGACTACATATGAAATAAGTTACATATTTGCACAATTGATCATGCACACCTCTTAAGTAGTTCAAAATTAAAATCAACAACATATCCTTTTATCAAGTTGTCAGCTGAAAACAGCCGTAAACCAACATTCCCGATATTCACCGTAATTTCACGCGACACAACTGTACTCGAGATCTAAACAAGAACAACTTCACTACTAGATATCAATTAGACACAACATGCTAACACTGAAAAAATAAACTGGTACCAATGTGCGATTTGGAGAAATCATACCAGCCTCGATTAACTTTCAGCCTGCAACACTTCTTTCAGACACAACTGTGTAACCTAACTTGAGGCTGAACAGTGAACACACTGACGAGGCCGAAGCCTACCAATTTATTTACGGTAACTGATTAAACAAAACACGTATTCCACATCAAATGACAAATCCGGGTGCATTTCATGATGGTTGATCAATGATGTGGGTGTTTATGCATTCAAGTCAAAACTTCAACCCAGAATATACAAAAGAAACTACTCACCTTGTCACTTGTTTGGTTTCGTCCGCCATTTTGTCGTACAGTGTTTTTCCGGAAATGGTGTTGTCACTCGACTACGATCGGTTTTTGACGGATACAGCCGAGGTAATTATTCCGCTGCATTCTACCGAGTTTCGCATAGCGGCTGTACGCGTGTTCCGCTAACGGCCGCTGTCAAATCCGATAGTACCTATTTTTGTTTGTATATAAACTGCATTAGATTGGAATACAGACGCTATGCTACCAATACGCCATCATTATGATCTCATTCAACGCTTTTTCGTCACACAGATAGGAGGGCCTGAACTATGCAAATTACGTTAATCCACGAACTACTTTCACAAACCTCCATACACGCCATGCGAATCCTACAACGTTAACATTTCATTGATGACGTCGTCGCGAGTTTACATTGTTTGTAAACAAACATGGCTTCCCCCATTCTCAAAATTTGTGATTCTGTAAGAATTGATGACACAGGTCGTTACTGCAGTAATTGACTTTGGAAAACATGAAACGGAGTACTTCGTTCAAATTGAAGGTACGGATTATCAGGCACCACTGAAAGGCAATCGTCTAAGGAAGGTACCAACCAAGGATTTCGATCTATCGATCACAATACAGACGACTAATCGATTCCGTTAGGTATCAGAAACTGATATTGATGAGGTGATTACCCTCAATGAAAATAGAAACACAGCTAAAAAAAACCGTCCCCGATTTTGTTGTTCTTTTTAAGATAGAAAGATTTTATTTTAAGCATGAGTTATGTTTGCACTGTATGAGCGACTAGTCACAACCATATGCCGCCGTCATGAACGACCTTCACCTTGGTGTACCGCTAAGTATTCCCACGCGAATGCTCGATTCTCTTCAAATAAATTCACTCTCTTTTTAGAGTAATGTTAAGAATGACATTATATGATAAAGAGATTATTAACCTCGTGTGTTTCTGTATCATTAATATCATATATTAGGAATAAAACTTATGCATGATCCTCGCTAAAGGCTCGCATGATACAATTTTTATTGCCAACATATGATATTAATGATTCAGAAATACACTCGGTACGTAATCTCTATATATCCAAGTTCTGATGTAATAAAGGTTTGGCAATGATGTAAAAGAGGCACGAATTCTCAAACAGCAGTTATCATTTTAATTTTTTTATAGGAACACTACCTGTATTACATCGGAAGTACTCACATCCTTCTCCCAAACCATCTGCACCTAGTTAACAGGTATGGAAAATAGTGAGGTCCACTTGATTGTCGCATGAGTGAGAGTTGTGGGATACTATGTACTCCTTAGAGTACATGTATTACTATTGATTGATAGTTGGCAGTGATTTTAACATCATTGAAAACTGAAGATTTAGTTAAAGTGTTGACAACCAATCTGTTGGATTATGTCAATGATGTAATGATTGAGGTAATATTCTTACCATCATTAACATTATGACTCATTATGTTTTTATGGGCATTACATGAAGATACGCCAATCTGAATTGGCCAATGAGATATTTCTCAGCCTCGTCTTCCACGTCTTCTACTTGATGTGCTGGTATCCAAGTACCGTCAATTGCGTCCTCCCATTCTTTCACCAGCAAGCGGGATGGCTCATCCCCACGCCTACCATTATAGAGTGTGAGTCTCGCAACCACAAGGGACCGCAACCATGTATACTTTTTGACATGGAACGGTTTGTTGTAACAAAGGCGGGTTAATTCACTTCTAATGTAATCTTTCAGTATTTTGAGAGCATCTTTGTCGGGTAGATTAGTGGGTCTCCTTGCCTTGTCCAGCGAATTAGCCATCTGGCAATATCTTGACTTTGAAAACATTTCGTGTGCCCGAAATCCATAAGCGTATTCGAATTTTTCTATCCTACATGGTTTCTGTGTTAAACTCTTTCGGGCTTTAATTGTCCTTTGTATGATGGCATTTAAATTGAGCTTTAAATAGTCCATGCTTTTCTTGACCATTTTCCTCCTCTTGTGTGTGCATTTCGATGGCTTCTCGCAAGTTTGGCAAATTTGTCCTAAAGACCATCTCCTCCGGAGTAACAGGCTCAGTACACAGTGTTTTGAACCGTAAGAAAAGCCTTGAGAAGCTCTCGCATTTCAGTCATTACACATGTTTTTACTTCCTTGATATTTCCGATTTCCTCAAACAAAAGTGGCGATACCCGACCTGTTGGATTAGCCAATCAGTCCTACAGAGTTCACCGACTTTAGTGTCTCTAAATTTAAGCATAATTTCTTCTCTGAATGTCGAATCCTTGTGTAAGTCAGATACTGCTAGATGTTTTACAGGTATTGGGTCAGCAACATATTTTGAGCACGTTTCCTTGTGTTTATAGAATGTTCTATTGGATAGAAACTTCTTGCATGCAGTGCACATCTTAAGATTGTCATGTATCTTGGGTTGTCGTTCTCTCATGAATTTCGATGGATTTTCAACTTCTTCATTTTTTATTAGGTTCAAATTGAATGCCACCATGCCTTCTCTTCGTTTATGATAAAAAACCTGCCTGTTCCTTTTCTGATGTGGTTAGGATTTCTTTTACCTCCTCTTCCATTTTGTGTACTCTTTGAATGTGGCGTCTTAATTTCCCCAAAAAAGTCTTCTTGCAATAAATACAAAATCTGTCTGGTTTCTGTGAAAGAAAAACTTATATACAGTGTACTGGAAAACGTACAAGAGCAGTGCATGTAGGATAAGATGCAAAAAGACAAATAGTTTTGAACATGGGCCTAATTCTCCTCCCAGAACCGCATTCAAATATAATAAAAAATATGAGGACTATATCCAACTCTAAGCTAAGTCCAATTCAAAGTACATAATCAACTACTGTCTGCTAATATGCTTTGAAATTTTTGTTTTTCATTTTGTTTACAAGTTGAATGAAGTCATGAGAACTCTCTATGTGATCCGGTGCATTCCTGTCTTATTGTCTCTGTTTTTCCTTCTTATGACTTTCAATGATAATTTAAAATCTGCACTTTTGTTATATCAAATAATATTTACATTATACCTAATAATTTTAAAGTGTTGCTTTGTCCCTTTGACAAAGGAACCGTGAGACCTACTTTCATTGCATATCAAATTTCAAGTGTTGCCATGCAATGTTATCAAACTACTGTTGTAACTGTAGTACTGTTCTAAACTGGGTTGTTCTCTGCTCATATTTTCAATTGGTTACTGTTACAATCAATTATAACGCTAAATAAATAAACATTTAAATTTGGATTGTTTTTGTGTTCGTCACTTTCATCCTGCAATATTTCAGAGAGATATTACTTTTGTCTTGTATGATTATTGAACTTGTACTATAACATGACTCACTTTATGAATATAATTTTCTTGTTTGAGTGGCATTTAGAAGTTGGTGTGATGAACAACGAGGAGAGTTCTATGGATATACAACTTATTTAATAAAATATGAGCGTCATTTCGGTGTAGCTACTAACACCGTTATCAAGCAAATGATGTACAATACTAAAGGCAAAGGATATATATATACATAGTAAAGTTGAACAGTAAGTGATTGATGTTTGTACAATTAATGCGGTTGATGTACAAGGTGTTTACACAAGAAGGCAAATGGTACGCAAACAGAGTAAGCTATGGGGGGATTATTGGGAGGAAGCCAGTGATATGACAGACAGGAGAATAATGGGATTATGATTGCTTGGTGATGAGTTGGTTGTAGGCAGTGGGGATGTAATATCCTTGGTCTCTGTTCAAGGCCGGTTGGAGTCTGTTGATGTGAATGGCTTCTAGTAGCCTTCTGATCTTGTGGTGGGTGTCATTACTGATGAGTACACTGATGCTGTTCCATAGGATGTTGTGGTCTGGGTGAGGTTGGGTGTGGTCAGAGATGGCGGATTTGGAGTCTTTCTTCCTCACAGAGGATTGATGCAACGACCCATATGTTAAGGTAATAACGTTACCATAACTGAATTGCCAGCCATCTGTTACCATAACTGAGTCTTATATCACTTATATATACATTATGTGTGTGTGTGTGTAATGTGATTACCAAGGCTATCATAGTGATGTCCTGTAAATGTATGCGCGTGTGTGCAATAGTACACATGTGCAGGTATTTGTGCACATGTACATGCCTGTGTAGTGTTCTTGTGTGCGTTGTTATTTTCTCCGGGAATACTTTTGAGGGTGAAGGGAGTATTGTTATTTCACAGGGTGTACACGAAGTGTGGTCTCTCCAACTCCTGGAGTATTGTTCTGCTTTGCCACACACATGGAGCTTGAGGTATAATGAGGTCTCATGAACATTGATCACTAATGCATTAGCATGTATGAATATATAAAAACTGATGCGAAAATAACGTGTCACAATTTAATTATGGAAATGCTATAGGCCTAATGTCCAGGAACTTTTTGCATTGTGGCCAGATTCAACAATTTCATTGAGAAAATTCAACATTCAATTATCATGAAAAATGCTAAGGATGAAATATGAAGAAGAAAAATTCGAGAACTTAAAATTTGAAATGCCTTGCCAATGGGCAGGCGTTACCAATGCAATCGTGACCATTGTAATTGTTTGCATATGTCAAAACCCTCCCCCTCTAAACAAAAACAAATAATAAATAAAATAAAATGAATTAAATAAATATCTCTATATAAAAATAAACAATCTTTTAATTAAAAACTAAAAATAGTAACTTTTTAAAAAAAGAAATAAACGGACTATTGCTGTCCCAAGCACTCTTTCACCTATGAGGACATGGATGGTCGTGTTCGTTTAGTTAGGGTTTAAGATGTCACGACGGATTGGACTAGCATGTACAAACATATAGGTAAATATAACAGATAAAAATACATCCGATAATAGATTTCGATAAATACTTTATTTCAATTAATACAACTTACACTATAACTGATGAAAATATACCATCTCCAGGGTTTGTGAAAAGAACAAACGGAAAAAGTTGACTCTGAGGAATGAAAGAATATTGCTTTACTCCGTAACATTGATTTTTCAGCTATTCGCAGCGAGAACCAAGATAAACGAAGGAACGTCCACGCCAAACAGGTTTCATTAGTCGTAGAAGGCAAACTGGACTTGAAATTAGAAGAATATACACACTACCACTGATATACAAGTGGACAGGCTGTTATCATACGTCTCTTCCTGTTGACTCTTCTCTTTGTGCTTTTAAGGACGCCTAATCCAGCGGTTTTCTCCCCAATAATATGGCTACTGAAAACAGTGCTGTTAGTCTTGGGTGTTCATCTTCTGAAGACCATCCGTAAAACCTTCTGAGGCTGAAAATCCAAGCAAAGCATGTCACTCGTACAGTGGTTCTATTTCTACCCAGTAGGCAATTAATATGTAGCTTATGGGAACTATCAATATCCGTATGCATTGAAAGCTTTATATATTTACATATTCACAATATCCAATAGACGTTATGTGGGTACTTCGTCATGTCTTCATAAACCGTAACCAGTACCCACAAAACCTAGTCAACAAAACCATCAAGATCACCCTTAATCCAAAAGACAAACCACCACGTCAGCAATCAGTCCCGTTCATCATCAGCATACCATACATCGATACAACTGGGTACCATATCCGCAGACTACTAAAGAAGCCAGCCAACACAGATGTTGTGTTGCAGAGTGGCACATCAATTCAGCACATTCTACAAACCAACAGTAAACCAGCTACCAGCAACAAAGAAGACCCTTCAGGCGTTGTCTACCACATTCAATTCAATTCCACAAAAGACTCCTAATCAGCCATTTCCGACCCAAGCCCATCTAAACCATACCATACTTTGGAACAACATCAGCATCTTTGAAGCTAACCGGTCAGATTACAAGATAAGAAAACACTTAATGGCAAGAATTTTTATGGATATCACCTTCTTTATTGTGATGGACACGACGTTTCGGAGTATATTCTTACTCCATCATCAGAAGCTGACATCCATAAAAATTCTTGCTTTTATATGTATCACTAAATGCCGTTGAGAGACTCCATGAAAACTCTTAGAGGCAATCAACATCAAACGACTCAGCCCGAACACCAACAGAGTTCGGGGCAATTACATCCCTACAGTTTACGATCAACTAATCAAGGATAATCAAGAATAAACAATTCACCATCCTTTATTCATCTGGCTTCAACCATGTCCGTAATCACAACAAGCTCGGTTATGTCAACACACTGTACATCAACCGTTTCAATTGTATAAACTCAAATACCCGTCATGTATATATTTCTCCTTGTGCATATGTTCTGTATCATTTGCTTGATAACGATGATAGGATCTAGACCGCATCTACATGTATTTGCAATAAAGAAGTCTATCTCTTCGACAAAAAGAAACGTACAAAGACAGTTTTTTTATATCGTGATGATCATACAATGCAGAAAATCAAGGTGAATGAGCAACGTAATCCATATAGTATTGTATATGTAGATGGGGTAGTAACTGGTTGAATGGATCACTCTATGGATATAGGAAAACAAGGACACAATGAAAAGATAACAGAAGTTATTTTTGACAAACATTTGTTTATTAAGGCCTTTGGTGTTGTTTGTCACATCCTATTCACCGATGACGTCACTGGAAGGAACCGAAGTCAATATCGGGTGTGACCACCGTTTGCATTCACAACTGCAGCACACCTCCTGACCATAGAGTGCACGAGGCGATTCACATAGGCCATAGGAATCCGAGCCCACACCCTCAGGAACGCTGTGCGTAGTTGGTCCGCAGTTGTTGGCCTTGGTCTAATGTCATTGAGGCATCTTTGGATCTCATCCCACAAATGCTCTATTGGGTTGAGGTCTGGGCTCAGGGCTGGCCAAGGCATGGTTTCCACATTATGCTGCTGCAGAAATGCTCTAGTGAGTCTGGCGGTATGTGCACGCGCATTGTCCTGCTGGAAAACATGACGCCGATGACGTGCAAAAACGGCACAACATGGGGTCGTAGGACTTGGTCGATGTACCGTGCAGCTGTCACACCATTCCCTCTTCCTGGACCGAGATTCTGGAAGATAACCGGACCGATTTTCTGTTTAAGTCCGATTCGACCCCAAACCATAATGCTCTGACCACCCCAAGCGTTTCTCTCCATCACACACTCATCATTAAAGCGTTCTCCTCTTAGACGCCAGACCCTAGTCCTCCCATCAGCCACAGATACGCAATAGCGACTTTCATCAGAGAAGATAACAGTTCTCCACTGTCTCTGATGCAAGTGTTGTCGCTGTTGTGCCCAGTGTAGACGTTCGCGGCGGTGACGTTGCGTTAGCACTGGACCCAGGGCAGGACGTCTACAGCACAGGTTGCGGGCTTGAAGGCGTCGCCGAACGGTGCGGTCACTGATTGCTCTTTGGTGGGTGCCAATGGTGTTTCGAGCTGTCTCTGTTGCCATGTTGAACCGGTCTTGCAAGTGGTGACGGACGATCTGTCTGTCCTGGCGACGGATGGTTACCAGGGTACGACCACTACGTGGACGGTCATCTGTGCTGTTGGTGGTGTTGAACCGTTGACGGAGACGTTCAATTGTTCTTACAGAACAATTGAAGTCATTGGCGATGACAGTAGCACGTTGACCTGCGTGGAGACGTCCGATGGCCTGTTGTCGTTGATCCCTTGTTAACCTCGGCATAGCTGCTGTAGTCTGGAAACGACTAAAGGATCGGTAGTCAAGCTGGGAATTAATACCCTGTATGCGCACGAGATGCACGTGCAGTGTGCTTTCAATGTTGTGTTTGGTTGAGCTGTTCCTTGTCCAAAAACAGTGAAATTTTTTGAAACCATCCAAAAAGTTGGTGTGTTGTACAAACTTATCATCTAGTGTTCGAATCATGTTTTTTTAAATGTTGTTTTCAGTCATCAAGTGACAACTAGTTAATCAAAATACATCATTGATACCAAATCCATAATCTGAAAAATACGACGTTTCTTTTGCCTTTCAGTATATGTACAATTTTGGTCGTCAGACGTGACAGAAACGACCCGAGGCCACGCTTTGCAACACGGTTAACTGCATGTCCTTGTTGCCAACGCTTGACTTTACAACATTCATTCAGACACACCAAATACAAGGAGACTTAAAACATGCAAGCCATGAAATTGTCTTGTTTCATCATTAAAACGTCAAGTGAAAGTGAGAAAATACCTCTGCGAGTCCTCAAATGGAAGTTTAACATCCTTGTATCCGCCAATTGCCATCAGGTTGCCGGCATGAAAAAAGTCCGCCAAATACGTCGAGATAAACTGAATGGGAAAGTGCCATTGACACCATTGTGTTACAAAATGTAAATAAGTGAGTTAAGATTTAGTTTCGAATCGGCAACATACGAGCCAATGTTTATGCAGTTATATAATTGGCCCCCAACAACCTCTGCTATTCTTCATGTGATTATATCGGCATGTTGGTCAGAACAGTTCGTGTATTTGGCGACACGATGATCATTATGATGTCACACGGGTTTGTCTGGTATGATTACTAACAGCAGGATTACTAACAGTAAGATTACTAACCAACATTTTGCTCGTTCAACAACTAACAAGCAAGGATGGAATTTGTTTTTGTGTGTCTATATTTAACTGAGAAATATCAATGCTCAGCTGTGCCGGTTTCTTTCAATACCTTTTCGAGGATTTCCTGGGCTCCAGGTTCCCGAAGTGTTGCCCAACCATACGTGTAGACAGCCAAACACCCACCAGGCGACAGCACCCGCTCAACTTCCCTGTAAAACTCCTGAATATTAAACCAGTGTAAGCTACTCGCAGCAGTAACCAGATCTACCGAATTTGGATCAAGAAACGACAAATTTTCCGCCGTCGACTGTCTGAATTCCAAATTTGCCACATTTTTAGGCGCTTGTTTCAACTGTTGCTCACTGACATCCAGACCGATAACTTTCTCAAAACGGCCCACCAAAGGGAGAGTACTCTGATGTCCAGTTCCGCACGCAACATCTACTGCCAGCTTGAATTTTCCTCCGCCGGCTTGACAGAATTTGAAGATGAGATCCAACACCTTGTCAGAGTAGCGAGGGCGAGCCACAGCATAGATCTTCGCGTGTTTCGCGCCCTCGAAAAAGCGATGGCTCATGGTCTTTAGCAGGTTTACCCAGACACGATACAGGTGATGTGACAACCGCAAAGTCCTTCAGTCTACTGATCAGGTATTAATTTAAAACACACATATGTAGGCACACGCGTCGCGGTTCAACAATTTGGGTCTCGGGAGATGCGTAGCTGCGTTTAGGTGATACAAACCATTTCGGCTTATAAACGTTTAAGTACGGGAACATCAAACCTAATTATAACCAGTGTCTTCATGATTGCTGAAATGGTAGATAAGTATTATAACATACACATATTAGGACAGCTTGACGTTGTGTCTTGTCTAAAGCTTACGTGTGGACTTGAATTGAACCGTTGTTGGAGACGATGTCTTTCATATATTCCATGCCCTTTTTTTATCCATGAGACAAACAACCCAATGTCGGTAACAGGTACAAAACTAAGAAGTGGCAAGCACATAAAATCATCAACGCTTTCACTAATTTTAGAATGGAAACATGATTAGCATGAAACAACAACTTTCTAAAGAATGTTTTTAATATTCTTGGAGCAGGATTGTATTTTTTCCACTTGAAAGCTGACTAGGTTAATGTCACCAAAAGGTGATAGTGTCTCGAATGCTAGGTGCCGCCACAACCCTTTCGATGTCAGTAATCTCCTTATCCATTTGATTTTCATGTACATACAGAATGATATAACATCCATCATTTTTAAGCCACCCTTACAGTAGTCGTTTATCAACATTTTCCTTTGGATTTTATCGCGCTTCCCACCCCAAATAACGTAAAAAGTATAGTTTCAATCGTTGGAAGAAGAGTTTAGACGGATGAGGGAGGGCGATAAACAAGTGTGTAAAAAGGGGATAATTTGAGTTTTAATAATCGTTATTCTGCCTATCGAAGTAAATGATCTATGTGACCACGAGAATAATAATTATTTCTAATTTTTGAAAACTGCGGTTCGAAATTTTATGAAATCATTTCTTCTAAATTGGTTGAACAAATTATTCCCAGGATTTAAATTGGACCAGCGAAGAGGTATATGTGGACAGAGTTGTTCATTAGTGTCTCGTTTGGACCCTATCCAGACAGCTATCGTTTAGATTTAAACCAGAGACTATTGCAAATGTTTTAATAATATGAATTGATCTGACAGTCCTCGTTCAGATCCATCTAAAGTGAAATTCATATTATCTGCGTATTGGAAGATGAGATATTCCATATATTTTATAGTAATACTATTGATATTCTTATTTGATTAATTGCAATGGCCGATAATTCGACACATGTAACAAAAATATATGGCGCTACTGGGTATCCTTGACGACATCCGCGTCCAAGGAAAAGAAGTTTGACAACGAACCCGATAAAATTGGAGCTCTACAGCTATTACGCCGAAAGAGTTTAATCCAATTTCTAAGTACAGGGTCAAAATTAAATACTTCAAGTTCCTTGCCAATAAAGTCCAGTTCGACAGTATCGAATGCCTTCTCAAAATCTATTGCAACTAAAAGACCGGGTAGTTTATATTATTCACAGTAATTCATTAAGTCATATAATATTCTAGTATTTTCTCCTAACAATTTATTTTATAAGAAGCCTGTTTGAGTTTCACTTATTATCTCAGAAAGGACTTCTTTCAGTTGTGAAGCTATGGCACCAGATGCAATTTTGTAATCGACATTTAGAAGACTTATAGGTCGCCAATTTTTTAAATATCGCCTATCACGAGAGTCTTCAGGCAAACACGTTACGATACCTTGTATGCATATGTAATGGATCGCCAAAGAAATACACTTTGTCTTTCCAGAAAAATATATAAAACTCTGCAGTGAAGCCATCCGATCCAGGACTCTTTCGATTCTTCATATTATTTAAGGCTCGAGCACATTCGTCTAGCGTAAGTGGATTTTCACAAAATTCGAGTTTATCATTTGATAATTTCTGGTCATTATTATTCGTAAATACATCTTGGTAATCTTGCCTATCTTTTGCGTGTTTACTTGGATATAAATTGCGATAATACTCTGAACATTTTCTCAATGTCTTCCTTTTCCGTCAGAATCTCATTTTTGTGTTATTATTTTATTCATGTTCTTTTTAATATAGTTTCTCTTTTCTAAATTCATAAAATATTCAGTATTATTTTCTCCCTCTTCATACCATTTGGCCGTGCTTCTAAATCTGATTCCTTTTACCTTTGCTGTCCCAAGTTTCGGACCCGTGAAGATCCGGGGTAGAATAGGTCTTCAGCAACCCATGCTTGCCACGGAAGGCGACTATGCTTGTCGTAAGAGGCGACTAACGGGATCGGGTGGTCAGGCTCGCTGACTTGGTTGACACATGTCATCGGTTTCTAATTGCGCAGATCGATGCTCATGCTGTTGATCACTGGACTGTCTGGTCCAGACTCGATTATTTACAGACCGCCGCCATATAGCTGGAATATTGCTGAGTGCGGCGTAAAACTAAACTCACTCACTCACTCGCCTAATAGTTTCGAGTCTTTCTTTTTTTTTTAACACATTTTTTATGATCATCACTACTTAATGTTGAGATCTAGCCTCCATTTCATAGATTTCACGTTCCAGCGTCCTTCTTCTTTTTCAGTTTGTTTTTTCAGTATAATTGAATATTCAATTGTCTAAGTTCTTATCTTCAGTTTTAATATTTCGAAAAATACTTGATACTTTACTGCTCATTCAATAGTTTCTAAATTGTCGATGATTCCAGTGATACAATATCCGGCCACTGTATCGCGTATTATTTTCTTGACGTGTGTCACTTAATCATTGTCATACAGTAAAGATGAGTTGAACTTCCACTAACCCGGTCCACGTTCTACTGGACTAAGGGCAAGTTCTAAGGAAATAATAGAATGATCTGGAGCCGTATTAATAAAGATTCTAAGAGTGAAAAATAATTCTTAACTCAGGTTAATTCTAAGAATTTTTAATCTTAAATGTAAGATTTTTCTTAAGTCATATTAATAAAGTGATTTTACTCTTAGAATTACTCTTAACTTTACAAAAAGTTAGGAGTCTTCAGCATGTACTATTTCTTACCTGAGAAGAGATGGCTGTTCAGAGAGTTTTTCGACCACGAAAAGATGTATTTAATGAGTATAATGATCCTGAATTGATATCTCGGTACCGCCTGGACAGTGGTGGCATGAGGTCTGTGACCGATTTGGTGAGAAATTAGCTAACGTCTCCAACCAAGCGGAATATGGCGATAGACGCTGACAGCAAAGTTGCAATTACCCTTCGGTACCTTGCCACAGGAAAAATGCACCTTTGCAACGGAGATGACTTTGGAATAAGTCAACCCTCGGTTAGCAATGTCATCACAGAGACTTTAAATGCCTTTTGTAAACCAGAAAACTTAGAGGCCGTTTCATAAGAATACCTATAAATCGTCAAGGAATACAACGCCATCAACGCCAGTTTCATGCCACCAGACGGCATCCATGTGAAGATAATTGCACCAACCGAGCGTGAGAATGAATCTGTTAACAGGAAGAACTTCCATTCGTTGAATGTTCAGGTGGGTTTTGCTTCCGACGACAGAATCTCCGAAATAGTTGCGAAATGGCCGGGGGCTACACATGACGCACGTATCCTGAACGAAAGTGGTGTGAGATTATTGTTTGAACATGGAATCATACCTAATGGTTGCCATTTGCTTGGAGACAGTGGTTACCCGTGTCGCAGGTGGCTTTTGACACCATTTATTCACCAACAGGCTGGACAACAGACAAGATACAACAGGTCAATATTATGACAACTTGTAACATGAAGAATGAGAGTGACTTCCCTTGGCAAACGGGATACCTAAAAACATTGTATTATACTGGAACGTAACAAATCCTCATAAAAATAATGCAAGTATATATATAATTAATTATCATGTATATAGTAAATAATATTATAATAATATAGTTAAACAATTTTAAGTCTGAGACTCCTAGGCCTCTACATTACTGTGATGTTTATTTATGTGTAAAATAAATCGAAACCCTTGAAAATATTTACTGTGTGAATGATTATCATTCATTCATTTTATTTTGATAAATTAATGTAGGTATGTTTCTTATTTTGTTTATACCTTTCATATTTGACCTATTTGAATAAAGATAATATTTAAAATATACACACAAAATGTGTTTGACATCAAATAAAGCCTCCCTGCAAAATGATTTTTTTACTATAGTAAAAATCAAATGGTATCACAGATTTTTCTACATTTCTAAAAGTAATATGAAATATTTCAGTGCACACAAGGCAACTAGATGTGTAGCGGAACGAGGCATAGTACAGATGAAAAGAAGATTTCACGTTCTTCGTGGTGAAATTCGTCTCAAACCCCAAAAGGCGGCAAAGGTTTGTAACTTCAATGTCTTACTTCCATTGTTATTGATGAAATTGTGATATTGTTAATCATATGAAATTATTTGAATCATCATTTATAATGGAAATGCTTTCATGTATTGTTACACAAACGTGACTGTGAAATGTATGTAATGAGATTGAGTTATTTCCAAAACTACAGAATTAATTCTAATGTTAATTCAAAATAAAGAGGCATTTTTTTATTCCTTACAATGTACCTCAGAATGTAAGACCCTATATCAAATGTAATATAACACATTAACAGGTTATAACAGTTTGTGCCATGCTGCACAACATCTGCAAAGAGAGAAACATTGGCGTGCCTCCAGGGAATCCTCCACTACCAGGCAACAATGGCTTCAACTTGCCAATCGTCCAACCAGCTGGGAATGATCTCCGATACAGACAGCAGTTTGTCAACACTCACTTCTAAATTGAAAGGTATAATATTAGATGTATGAGAAAGAAAGTATTTTATTTGAACAACCAATTTTATTGTGTTCAATTCAACAGACAACAGATAAATAAATACAAGTTAATGACAAAAGAAATTTTCAAGAAGCATCAACAATATAATTTACTTTTAACAATTTATGAAAATCAAAAAGTAGCAGTTCATTAGTTGCTCCATATGTATTCAAAATTTCATTAAGATAGTGTAAATCTAAGAAGATGAAA